CACTTATAGGTTAAAATGTACCAACTCAAAAATCAACCACTTCTTTGCATGTTGAAGGTAACACTGATTCCTCGATAGTAATTTTATTAGCGTTAACCAAGATCCGTACTCGCTGAGGAGAGTCACTATATACCAACAAAGTACTCATTCAGAGCTTTCTCTGATGGAAAGTCAACACAACATTGACAACAACTCTTCATATAACAAACAAACGCCTATTTGCTACACATATAATGTTATTCTCTGTCATATAAGACAGATACTGTCAAATAACAAAGGCAACATATAGATAGTTGTTTATATGACAAACATAACTATCAAACAGTAGGTAGTTCGAAACACGTAGAGTAAAGTACCAAGGCAGCATAGATCCAAAGAGGTTGATTGCAAACTAACAATCAACCCTTTACATCGACTATTTGACAAATGTAGGCCTGTAGGATGTTAAACAATGATACATGGCTTCAATCTTGTAGAACTAATGATATACTTGTCAGTGATGTACCAAAGACTGTCTATGCACAAGTAGGACAGGTTGCAAGTGTATAGATTCAGGTACATCTCTAGTTCCGTGTGTTGCCAATAGATAACGATTGTGACAGCTGTTTCATAGCAAATCACCATAGATTATTTTCCCGCTCTACTAGTTCGACGTTTACTGTCACTGTGGTTGACATTTTGAATTAATATTGATGTGTACTCGTGTTTACTTGTATATAGAGTTGAGTAGCGATATGTAGAACAATGGTTTAACTGATTCGATTTGTTACAATCGCGATTGGAACCTTCAAGGTTTTGTTTAGCCTATGTATTAGGTAGGTATATGTTTTCTTTACTCGCAATACTAAAGTAGTTTTTTTTTCTTCTTTGTCGTGTCTTATTATAAACATACAATTTCACATCCACACCACGAATAAAAAATTGGGGATCGAACTCAGTTTTTTTTAATATAGTAAGTAATTATAGATACTTATAGTTGTACGCGTCCCTATTAAGTAAAAAGAGACTAAATATTGTCATGCAATGACAAAAATAACCTTATACCACCTCTTCAGGGAATGTAATGGTGTCACGTAATGCTAATTTACTAATAAAGTAATAACCTAGTGACCTAAGCAGACAAGTTTGATAAATTGATTTTCAAGTTATCAAATAAAATAAAAATATTATTGATACGAATATGAAACATTGTTCAGTTATAATAACACCGCTTTTGAAATGTAAATTACATTAATTATTATTTTAAACAGCTAATTATTTGACAAGGAACTCTAAAAGCCACGCGACGTACGCCGCGTCGTGTGTCCTACTCATAAATATGAGCCCCCGTCGTGGCTTGAAATTAGTCGAGTTACTCATGAAGCGATTACTTGAGTAAGACTAAAAACCGACATAAAAATTAATTTTATATGTGTCGTAAAAAAGAGTAAGTTAATTATTTCCTTGTTATTTTATTACATAAAGTTATGATTTTATTAGTTCTTTGTGACATTGTGACTACATACATTTCTTTATTATGATTCAAAAGCAGTTGGGAAGATACATATTATATCCGGATTCCCATATAAAACTGATATAATTATATGACCCTTCCAATATTAATTATAAATTTTATCATAATAATTATGCAGGATAATCCTTTTCTACCTTTTAAGACAAGACTGTAATTGAATGTTGATTTTTATCATCGTCCGCAAAATGGTGAAGAATTTTTTACTTGACAAACTCAAACACACACAATTATGTGTGTATTGGCTCAACTATGGAAAGGAGATGAAATAAGTTACTGTTAAGTAATTTATTTGACGTTTTAGTAATATTTTTACTTGAGTTATTTATGTTCAAGGAAGTAACTAGTTATTAATTTAAAAGACTCGAGATGGTTTGCTTATTTGAAAAATTGGACAAAATCTCTACTAGGTAGTCTCAAATCGCACCGGGTTTTGACGATGGTATATTTCTATGTAAAAGGCAATAAAATAAGATTATCAATGACGTCTGCTGGTATTTGAGACACAATAGAAAACACATTGTATCTCGCGTAGATCTGCGCTCATGACATCACGGGTTAAAATACCCAACAAACGTATACGACAGAACCCTTTGACCAAAGAACCTTAAACCTATAGACTAAATACCTACGGTAAATTAAGCTCTTAGCATTTTTCCATTATGTTTTTATAATAAATCCTTTACATTAATAAGATATTTTGTGAGCAATTACTTCTACGAAAAAGGGTCTCAAAAGTAATAAATAATATCTGTCATTAATTAGGCACTGTTGTTTACAACAGAATAAAGGGTTTATCCTTTGAACAATATCTTAATCATGTCCGTTTTAATCAACAATATTAAGCAAAGTTTATTAATTTTGCTACTTAAAATAGACAACTTTACAAAAACAAAACATTAAAAGCTACAGGAAATTTAGAAGACCAGGACATAGGGTATGCAGGACTTAACAATCTATACAGAAAGTAAAAATACTTTTTTATATTATAAATTATTATATTTTTTTGTAGCTACTTCAGCCAGCAATTTGACCAGATTGAGTCTATGAAACGTCGTAACAAAAAGACATGCATGAAGAAATCAACGATTAAGCAATCCAAACAAATCAGAACATCTAAAAACATGTTTACCAAAACAGTATTTAGACGTCTAGATTACATAAGGCTTTATCTACACAAGCCTAATAAGAATAACTTAGGCAAGGTCAATCAATACATTTGTCGATGTCTCTGCTACCGAATTGAACTCTCTAGTGTTTTAATTTTAAATCGATTGACGTCATGTTTGTTTATTCTTAACGAATAATCGATAGTCTTTCGGTGCATTGCTTTATAGGCCTCACTCATTCGGATACTGCCTTGTTGCAAAAGTCTAATTCACTTGATGCCACTAGATATTGATGACCAAATAAAACAATTGCTGATTCTAGTGTATCTTTGTTAATATCATTTTTTATCGAATTGGACGAAAAAAGACGACAACGCCAGAGTTTCGTACGTTGACAGCCTTTTGTGGGTAAAAAGTCAAAGTTCTTTATTTAAATATAGTTTATTGTTCTACATATTCATATTTAAAAATGCTATTTTTGCTGATGTGTTACGCACACAAAAGAATCCACTTCATTGGCTCAATTGTTTGCTTACTCGATTTGTACATGGAATTTTGTTGTTACATCACTAGAATATCAAATATCACCTGTCAATTTGAGCTCTTAATTTGCCGATTCAAATTTCATATAATTATGGAATGTTGCTAGTTCGAATTTTGAATGCGTAACTGACAAAAAATAAAATTACTTGTTCTGTTTTTATTTTGTTTAGATAGTTTATGTTAAATGCATACTTGTTTTATCTACTAAGTGAAAGTTTTCGATTTGAACCTCAACAATTTGATTTGATTTGCTAGCATTTGCAGGTTTCTGAGACTTTTTGAACTAAGTTGCGAGTTACACGAGCGACGACTGTTATGCACTCTTTTTTTCTTGGAGGAGCGATAATCATCGAATCCTTTCTCTCGCCTAGGGTATGGCGAGAGGAAATGTCAGACTCTTACTAAAAACCTCCTCGTTCTTGCTCTAGGCTTATTACGCTAGCCCCACAACATCGGCTTTACCTACAAATTTAGGTGGTATTTTTACTGTTCCTACACATCAACGTTCCCATAACAATGCGCAGAACCGTAAAACTATGTTGTAGGTATTTTATCTTCAAACATGGGATTAATTAAGTAACCAGAGCAAGGCTTATTACCTTTAACGTATTTAGAATATTCAGTGCCACGGCTACATGCGTCAAGATTAAACTAGTTACATCACTATGTGGTAATGCGTTATACATATTCATATATGTACTGACTATTTAAATAACTTTAATGAGTTTGCTGAGCAAGGGCAGTTTTGATCTCTAGTCTGACAAAGATATGTTATGAAAATGAAAAAAAAATTAGGTCGTCACTTAAATTATAAAAAAAAAAAATATCGAGTGGGAAAAAACACTTAGGTACGTACCTAGATGAAAAGGTTTTTAAAGTTTTTTTTTATTATCTTCAAAGCAAGAAAAATTTAAAAAATAACAGTAAGTGATTGGTTTGTCCGTATGTATGATTATAGACTGGTTCCTTATCCAAACTAATATTATAAATGCGAAATTAAACGATTTTTGTGAAATTTAGAATACACATATCGCACGCTTAATCAAAAAAAGAAATATATCAAAATTGATATTTTTTGGATATGCCAGTTTAAAGTTTAGAACTATTCTGGGTTGAACTTTGTTTACGTATTAAAATTAATTTAGACGTGTTATAAGGAAATAAACTGATTTAAAGGAAAGCTGGGTTTATTGGTTTTTGTTTAGTGCTATATAAAAGTATATTTTATTTACTATTGACTAGTAGATGATGCATTAAAAAAAAAGTTCCTAGTTATTTCACTTTATGATTAAAATCTACGTGCATATTTTAAATGTTATTAGTCATAAAACATAATATATCTCTTTATTAATAAAATTTTGTTTAGCTATTCAACTTAAGTAAGCTTTATTTCAATTTTTTATTAATAAATGTAATAATTTTCTTACAAGAATTCGAAATATTTCTTTGTCTTACAACATGACGGAAAAATATCAATAAATATTATAGTAATGAAACGCATAATTAGAAATATTCTTTTATTTTAAAGTACGAAAGTAATATAACACAAGACATTAATGACTTGGCTAACTGAATTAAGGCAGGGAGGTACCTAATCACAAACCCAGGCTGGGGCAAAAAGTGAAAAAAAATATGTTTAAAAAATAATCAATAAACGTGGAATCACAATGTTAAACAATCATAATGTTATACTTGACTAATATTAGTTATACTTAATAACAAAACTAAAACTCTTCTTAATTATAAAAACAAAAAAAAAAACGATGTTTCTAAAAATATTATAGACAAACAAAATCACTAAAATTTTAATGAATTATTATGAGATCAATGAAGTAACTCTAGTTAATGATCGAATTATAAAAATTTGCGTAAAAAGGAGGAATAAGTCCTTTATTGACGAGATCTCTTAAATCCTTCTTTTTATTAAGACTTATATCTTGCCTTTCCGTGTAAGCCTTTTTTAGTGTAATTTCTGTTATGAGCTTCATCTTCTTCCTTTTATTTCTTACATCTATTTCTTGGAAACAATCATCTTTGTAGGAAGTTTTGTAAAAAATACTGAATGGTTTCTCTTTTTTCATCATCAATACTTTTATATTATTCCAATTAACTGTTTGTCCGTCCATATTTGTATTATAATTGTAACCCCATTCTTCCTGCAATATTTTAGTATCAACGAAGGAATCAAAGGTTAATTCGTGTACATTTATAGCTGGTTTACTTTTTTTAGCATTTTTAATTAAAGCTATGTACTGATCAGGGCTGTAAATGGGCCCTGATTTAAGATTTTTCTTTATCTCTTTTTCTATTAAGCTGTGCACGCTATCCGCTTCATTTTGAGTGTGCCCTGTGATTAAAAACTTGTGTTTTATACTTCTTATATTCAACGTGTTCACAGCAAATAAATACAATGTTGCGATATATTTATTTTTATTCTGTCCGCAACAGTTATCAGAATAAAATGTAACGTTTTTCTCTTCTATATTTGATTCACATATCCCTTCAAGATACTGCCATACACAAGTTCCTATTTCTATTGCCCCACGTTTAGCTTCTGATTCTGTCCAAAAATAACAATGTACTTTATCATATGCCGTTTTTGACTCCGTTTGTGTCAATTCCGTTAATGTTAAATTGTAACTGTTAAGTTTGGATTTATAATAAAATGCCGAGGTATCACCTCTTGGACATTGGAGCACTGCTTCTAAATCATAAATTGCGACTATATTATCTTTGGTAACTTTTTTACGATCTTCTTGTTTTTCTATTCTACTCAATGACTTTTCTTCTATGTGTTTATTATATTTATCTTCCAGCTCTCTCTTTTTTTCATCAGTACTGTTTTTAAATGATTCACATAAATCACACTGGTCTTTTTTTGGCTGGAAAAAACTTAAATTAAATTCTAGAGTGAATATTTTATAGTATGCTATGTAATTTCCTGTCTCTTTGTTATTTTCTTCTTGTTGTTTAACAAAATCTGAATACAAATCCTTTATAGTTTTACCACCGTCAATGTATTCTCTGGTAGAAGTAGCTCTCACATAGTGTGACTCTATTTTCGGAATGGATTGAATATGCTTCCGTATGTCGTCAATCAATTCAGGAGGGAGAGTTTTGTGGCTATGGTGTTTCCCTCTCAAATCTTCAAGCATAAAGCCACCGTCACTTACTTTATGCTGTATGGTGAATATCATTCTGTCCGTAACATCCAAAGTAGATTTAAAAAATGTCTTACATACCCTTATTTTTTTATTATTAACAGTAAAATTATAGGCTTTATTTGGGCGTCTGGGATTTGTAGCATTTGTGTACCTATATTTTGGAGTTATGTCTACCATACAACTGCTTATAAAAACTCTTTGTCTTGTCAGGTCTCCTAAATCCCAAAATTCTTTGAATATATTATACCTTTCATCCATTGATATATTAGTTGTGCATTTTAATCTACATTTATCTGTGCAAGGCACTTTAAGACAGCGGCTGGGAATAACTTTCTGAGATTTCGATATGGATATATACGATTCACCAGTGTTCCGTAGCTTTTTAACTTTATTTTGTTTCCACTTTGCAGGATTTAGAGATCGCTTGCGCCCTCTTTTACTAAGCTTCTTTCTATCAGAATCTGAAACACTATCGTCGTCACTGTCAGATGAGTCTGTTTTGGTGGCATCAAAAAAATAGTTTTTCTTTTTGCGTTTGGTAGACAGTTCATAATTAAATGTAGGGTCGTCATCACTTAAGTCTATATTATCACTTTCATCAGTATAATTTGGTGAAATATTGGCAGGTAGAGTGGAAGTTGAAGCGCTCTGTGGTCTTACACCATTGGCGTATTGTTCAGAATGTTGATTAGTTCGTTTAGAAGACGTAGAACTGTCTGAATCCGAAGATGAACTACCAGAGGAGGTAGAGTTCGATGAAGACGAGCTTGATGTAGACGAGCTTGAAGAAGAAGATTTCGGCAGTGCTTTTTGAATGCTTTGATCAATTTCAGTACAAGTTTCAATGTTTTCTAAGTTATTATTATCATTTATGGATGAATCATCACTGTCATAATCTGGTACGAGGTTTGTTTGCAATGTTCTTATTATTGATGTGTGTGTAGTAAGACTACTATTATCTGTTTTACGGGAACTAATAAATCGAGCATCAATTTTGTTGGCAAATTGATCATCTCTATCACAATCTGATAAGATCTCATCACAGCTACTTACATCAATATTTTTATTTGGGGAAACATTTTCTGCGTTTTCTTTAGCTGTACTGTGTTGATCTTCTACAATAGTATTGTCGATTTTAACCACCAGATTGTCTTGAGTATGAGATGTTGCATCAGGTGATACCAATTTAAGTATACGACTTGCTCTCCAAGACGCCATGCTACAAAAAAATTACAATTTATAATGTTTTTAATATTAAATTAACAGTAATTAAAAAAAGGCGCGTCTGCGACTCGGATAATAACGGATCAAGTCACAGTTTTAAACGTCAATAATAATGTAAAACTAAATATAATTTATATAAGTCGCCCCGTGACCACGGCTGATGCAACTCAGCTGAAACGTCGGAAAAATAAAATAGCAAGGTATGACGCGATTAATACCCGTTTTAAAACAGATTAATAATTAAATTAATTCCCTCACTACGGCAAAAATGGCTTTAGAACGGAAGTAATAGTATATATTCTTTGCTTTAGGTTAGTATCTGACAAAAAAGGAATGTCACAAAAAAAAAATCAAATATAAATTAAGTATTAGCAGCAAAACTTAGATTTTCGCGCATATTTTTATGTAGCATTAATTACCTACACAAAAACTTTCTTTTTGTGACATTCCTTGTTTTGTCCCTGTACCCTTCAAATTATCTTATATAAGGATTAGGGTAGGATACAATAATAATAAGACTGGCCTAATTGGATGTTAATTCATTAAATGGCTATTCAGACGATGCATAGAATAAGTAACAATTAAAATATTCTATTCAAATGGAAAGGGAAATAATTTTAAATGTCCCAAATAACTTTTGACGACAATTAATCATAAACAGCAACAAGCATGTTTCATTATTAAATTTGAACGATAATTTAAAACTAAAACGAAATAAGTCATTTTGTGCCAACATTATATTTATTCTTTTAAAATGAAAACGAAATAACTCGTATAAATTTGGACGACGCGTTAATAAAATTTAAACTAAACTGCAATAAGTCAAAATGATATCACAAAGTAGTGACATACTTTTTGTAATAAAGTGAAATAAGACTTAGTTATTCACTTTATGAATAAATTAAAACAAGAAATAAGACTTACCTGTTAATAATATAAAGATTTATGCCGTAATGTTTCGCCCTTTAAATAATTTTGCGATCACCTTACTTGCATCACTGTTGGCACATGACTGAATATAGCCGTTTACTGGTACCAATCTGTTCGGGCGCGTTAGTCAGAAAGAGAGCGACAGTCCTTTATTTCGTTCATATTCATTCAAATCGAGCGGCGGTTGGAGCGTAAATATTCTTAGCGATATGTTATTACGTTTTATGATTGAATCTTTAAATAACTTATTTTTGAGTTATTTCTCTTTATGATTAAGCGTGCGATATGTAGTTTGGAAGGAGAAAAAGGACATAGGATAGTTTTTATACCAAAAATCTGCAGAAAGTCACTATTCCACGCGAACCAAGTCGCGGCCAAAAGCTAGTTTTACCAAATAAAACTGAACAAATGAATCTTGCATTCTGCTTACCCCTTTAGGGAAAAAAGATGTAATGCTAAGTAACTTAGACCAAACACGGCCGGAGTTAGAACTTTTACAATGACTTTTACTATCTACGTCCTTAGTTGTTCGAGTTTTATGCGACTTGATAAGTGAAAAGTTAAATAAACTTTATAGGTACAGTCGTAGGCAATAGAGATGTTAATTGTCTGTACGTAGATTAGCCTTTGCGACTTCTGTCCAAATGTAAGACCGCTGCTTAAACAAAAGGGATTTTATTATATCCAAACCAGTAAAGGCTGGTCTTAATATAAATCTTCCTAATATAAATTGACATGGTTTCCCAAAAGGAATTCTATTGATTGCTGGTAAACTCATAATTACACGGTAAAAATATATATATATATACGCTATAAATCAGGTACCAAAATATTAAGTTATACAAAACATTCATATTTTTATTTATTCATAGAATTAAATTATATCCATAAAGTAATTCCTATTTATTTTTTTGGTAAAGCCTCAAAAAAAAAAATGTTTAAAAACGGAACATATCTAAATAATGCGATGACATTAAGCGCGACATTTTTAAAAATGGCGTCAATATTTCTTACTATGACATGTTTCCCGCGCTTTAGTCTTCTAATCAATTACAAGACAAGCTGAAGGTATATCGAAACTTGATCTACACGTCGCTTGAATTCAATTTGAGAGGGGAAAATATCCTTCTTGTCGCGTCTCGAATACTTAAGCTATCACTCTATTTAAGGACCGGACATATTTCATGTTTTATCTGAAGAAACGGTTTTACATTTCTTCTTGGAAGGTGTAATGCGATACTTATCGGGTAGATGAAAAATGTTTGTACCTATGCCTTTCGTATTTTAAACATATTACTAAGTAAGGGTATTTGCGTAAGTAACTTAAAGTGAAGTGATTTTTGCACAGAAGCCTTGGAAAAGGTTTATTTTTGATTAAAATCGAATCAGAAATAAAAGATCTAAAAAAGTAACTGACAACGAAAACAATACATATAATTAGGGTATTCAAATAAAATATTGAGTTCAATTAAGAATAGGTAGGTACATAACATACCTAAGCTTCAAAGATCGCGTGCAATACTTTTAGTTAAATGTATCGCCATTCCGAACTGTGCGAACACACAGCTGTTACCGCTTTGTCTTTCTATGAATGAAGGAAAACGACGCCATGTTTTTCTTTGAAGAACTATGTAGATAGTCATTTGTTAAAGACTAGTGTCGAATGCTGATATTATGTATAAGAATACCTTTGTGTGGTTTTAAACAGTAGAAAAGTTTAAAATGTATAATTTAAATAAATTGTAGGTAAGTACGATAAACTTTATAACATTTTGATAGTTGTATTACCAATTCTTTTAAAATGGTTTACGTTATATTTCATTGAGGTATAACTAATAAATACATAGACGTTTGACAAAAAAACTATAAACATTAATCTAATGTTAAATTAGCATGAAGTTACTTTATAAGAACGTCAAAATTTTCCAGACACAAAATGGGTATCAGAGGCCGTTATTTTTTTTCGAAGACAGGTAAGTAATGAATGTTTTTAAAAGTTACTAGTAGAAAAAAATGTGTTAAAGAATTATCTTCGTGGGACTAATGGATCATCCGTCACTTTGTATTAGCTTAATATTTTTTTTTTTTTGTATCCATATTTTATCTTTTCTGTTTACAATACCACAAAATTTTCACACAAAGATTATTTTTATTTTTATATTATTTTTTTGTGTAATTAGTTTGTTCTCGAGTTTTGGTGGCCTATACGATGACCCCACTTATTTAAAAAAACTTACTGGCATAATAAATTAATTTTTCTTTTAAAATAAGTTATAAATTAAAACGTAAATAATTAAAAACGTCTGATAGTGATGTTACTAAGTAAAATATCGAAAGGCAGGTAGGTATATGTATATGTTAATAAGAAAGTCTTATTTACATAACACGCCCTTCGGACCTTGAACCTGTTATTCTGATAAACAAAAAAATCGTGATAGGTATAGATACCTACTAACAATTTTACTGAGAAAATATCACTACAAATGCAAAAGTAACTTAGGTGCAGTACGCAACAGAAATCCGGTTTATAATTTAAACTTTAAATCGTGGTAATTCGAGACACAATACAAGAACAATAGACGCGCGAACGCCAGCGCTCGCTTGGGGATTGATGAGTGTAAAATAATAATATATCCAAGCATTTAAGTCCCCAAAGCTTTCAAAGTGTGTGTCTTTCAACTTCATAATTCACTAGAAAATATAGGAATATAAAACCAAACCGTGATAGTTTATAATTAGATTTATTTATGAGATAGTTGGGCAAACGAGCAAACAGATTACCTGAAGGTAAGCAAAAGCCTTTTAGTAATTAAGGAAGAAGGAGAATAAGACCTCTGGTAAACACAACCTAAGTCTTGCTTCACGCCGGTATTCTGTGAGGCCGTGGTATCACTCCGGTCGAGCCGGCCCATTCGAGCCGAAGCATGGCTCTCCCACACTTGGAATATAAAACCAAACCGCAATCTATAAATAGGTTTAATCAACGCACACCAACATAGAAAATACAGTAAAGCTATTAAGTATAAAATTTAATACTATATCTAGATAGAAATCTGTCAATACTCACACAGACAAACTTGGATCGCCCACACTCTCGTAAAGCTAGCTTGGTAAATAAACTTGATATTTACATAGGAAGCGCTCAATGTGCACTAGACCGAACGTAGGTTGTAAGCGTGGTTGTAAGTACATAATAAATAAATAGTGGAGCGTGGATATACATAAGTACCTAGCTATATTATAGTATGACTAAGCTAACATGTAGAGATAGTTTTCGTGAGACATATTAAATTAATTACTATTCTCTCTTTCTGATCGCTTAAAAATATATTTTGAGACCCAGTGTGGCTTGAAACTAGTCGAGGTATCTAGGCAAGCGTTACTTGAATGAGTCATATAACATAATTAATTAATTGGGTACTTTATATACTAAAAAAGTATATTAAATTTTTTTTTAGTTCAATAATATGTTACCTACAAAAAAAAATCACTATTTTTTCAATTCAATAAAATGTTATTTACAAGAAAAATCACTATTTATCTAATATTCTTCTTTTTACCATTATATTGGTTCCGGTTTACAATCCCCTACAAAGTTCAGTCAGAAAACTGACGATTTTAAAAATATTAGATATTAAAAAATCATAAATTTTCAGATTATAATCAGCATCCTGGTCTAGCAGTTGACTGATCACTGTTAGACTTGTTTAGTTGTAAAATTTCAATTAAGATACTAATTCAGTTTTAGAAAGCGTTGCTGCTCCATCTCTGCGAATATGCTTTTTGATAAGCTGTACAGAACTTGCAAAACAAATTGATAAATAATACCATGAATCGTTTAATTATAAGAAAATGGTATATTGATCTTACTATAGGCCATTTATAATGATTTATCCAAAAAGTTGTAAAACCTTGTACATACTTAAAATACCTATCAATACTATCTCGACAAAACAATATAATTTCACACTCATATTTAGAACTCTTTTGTTTACCCCTGAAACTTAAACAATAACCAACCTTGATCCATTGTAATAAAGTTTATTCCTATAATTAACAATAGACAATAATATTCCCATACACGGTACATTGACGTGTAGTCTATGCTTGCAGTGGAGTCAAGGTGTAGGTCACGCTAAGGCCGTAGTAAATTGCAAGAGAACTCTTACAATATAAAATCGATAACTATTGTGAACTTTCTGTTGTTATAACGTATTATGGTTTATAATTAATCATTACTTTGTTTTTAGCCTTAATAAATGTCTACTGCTTTTCTGTAAAGGGAAAATCATCAAATGACTTCTCCCGATAGTTTTGCAAAAAAGAGGCTTCCCAGTTCCTCTAGCTCCGCAACATGACCTCGACTACGGCCAGACGCGAGAGGACGCCGCCGCCGATCACTTCTCTTAGGCCACGGCGAGTTAGGGACAGCCCAAGCAGGGCACACATCCACCGCATGTTCCACAGTATCTTCTGGGTGGATCTCACAATGACGAACCTACCGAAGCAGCCGTTTCCGGTAAGTACCTGCGTCAGGCGGAAGGTGAGGACACCATGGCGCCTCTACTCCTTAAGCTACTCCTCAAAGAGGTGCTATAACAGCGTGCCCGAAGTATCTACTGCTGAGAAAAGATCTCTTCTCACACTATTGAGGAAGTCTAAGCATTATCATCATCACCGAATCGAGAGAATCCACAGGATTCATAATATTATTATGAATCCTATTATATCCTATGAATATTATTATATTATATTACACAGGATTCATAATATTATTATGAATCCTGTGTATAAACGTATAAAACAAATAAATATTAATACAGATACTACTCATTTACCTTCCATTTTAATTAAATTCTTGTAATGAATGCTAATTTAAAACCCTTTCAGAGCGTGTAGGGCTTGTAATAAAAAGTAGTATAAAAGGAATGTTCCGCGTTGAGTAGCAAATTTAAAAACATAATAATTTAAAATATACGTAAATATTTATATCATAATAATGAGAACTTGTTTATAAATCGGTCGGCGAACGGATTACCTGATGGTAAGCAATCGGAGCCGTCCATGGGCAACCGCAACACCGGAGGGGTTCAAGGAAATTGAGGATTAGGGATTTGAAAGTGGGAAAGAGGAGGGGGAAAGGCATGAGCCTCCGGTAACTATTTAACGAAACACAACTCAAGGGTTTCTGTAACCCCAGTTTTCTGTGAGGCCATGATATCACTCCGGTCGAGCCTGCCCATTTGTGCCGAAATATAGCTCTGCCTCAACGTTTGGTTATACCAAGTTTACCATGATCATTCCTTGTTATATTCATTTAGAAGATGTGTTTTTATAACTAGAAGTGCATATATTATTTAATCATCATCCTGGTTATCACGGATCTAGGAGCCGGTCATTAAGTTCCAAATCTACCAATCGTAACATAGGCAGCATTTATGTATAGGTATTGTTATCACCAGTTTGGTTATTTCGCCAAGAAAGAAAATTCTGTAACGATCCCCATTTCCTAATTCTGGAAAAAGTTAAAAAAGGTTTCAAGGAAAAAAATGAAAAAGTTTTTCTATTAAAACCTAGGGAGCGAGCTAGTTAAATGTTAGACGAAAACGACTTTTTGTACGTCGCTCTACAGTTAGTTGCTTGTAACTAACCCAGATTTAGTTTAAAACTATTTTGAACTGAGCACAAAATACGACTAGAAATTTCGTGATAATCCGCATTTTGAGATAGAGATTGTAATAATTAAAAAATGTATATAATCGGTTAGGTGTGAATCGTACAAACATAATAAATGTGAAAGTTTGTGAGAATATATGGATGTACGTTTGTACGCAAAAACGGCTGGACTGATTTAGTTTCGATTTATACTATAATATTATAAAGAGGTAAAATTTGTAAGTTTGTATGTAGGGGGGTAATCTTTGGAACCGCTGGTCGGATTGCCAAAATTCTTTCACTTATAGATAGCTACAATGTTTCTGAGTGCTATAGGCTATAAAACATCACCCTACGATTAAATGGAGCTGAGCAGTGGGTGAAACCGCGCGAGAGTAGCTAGTTTGGAATAAAGATAATTGATACTCTGGATTAAGACAGATGCTTTTTATCAACATAACACGCGCCGTGGTAGCCGTAAAGCCGCGGGTGGAAGCTAGTAATTTCATAAGTAAATATCACATCAGTGATACATATCTTTTTAATACTAAGTGTATTAAGTATGTAGATACTGCTTAGATGTAGACACAAAGTGGTAAGCAGTCGATTTTTTTAAATAATTCGAACTTTTTTCCTTTTTATTATATCAAGAGAAATATGCAAATGATACCTACGAAATAAAAGATAAACTATCGATTGCTGATAAAGATGTCATTATGATTATAATTTTCTGACGTAGGTACCTACATAACACCTACTCATGAAAAAATCATAATAGATTTCTATAATAATAAAGAAACTCAGCATTATATAGTGTCTTCTGACCAAGCGTTTACCGAGAAAGGTACACAAAACATTAGCTATCTAATGTTGCCAGACTCCATAACACTTAGTCCTTTACAAATACCTGAGTTAGGTGTTGCCACGTTACAATCGAGCGGTCTTTATCGGGCTTAACGCTGCGGTCGCGACATCCCTGACATGGATACCTTAGTAACTGCATAAATATTCTGTATTTAAGAAATATGTAGGTACTACAGTATCATATTCATTCATTTTTGAAGTGTCATTTATCAACCTTTTTGCTTATAAGAGAGATCTTATAAAGAATATTATTATAAGTATTACTTAGGGCTGATTTTTCAATGGTTAGATAAAAGTCACTTGGGGAATAATTAAGATGCTGTCGCGTCAGAATGTTTGTATAAGACAGGGACAGCAACAATTTTATTCCTCAAATAACATTTATCTGACTATTAAAAAAAACAGCCCTTAGACGTACAGGCTAGTTAAGTTCAGTATCGATACTTGTTGTTAAAGAAACAAATTTATGGCAATTTCTGAAAGGTCTATAAGTCAAGCAAATAGCTGCATAAAAGGACTGACCGACCGACTGTTTTTTTTTATCTTTAAGTCTTTGTTTGACGTATTTGAAATAAATGATGGACTTCGATTTTGAGCCACATATTTCAATCAACAAATGAATTCATATATATTTTTTACACTTAAGTTACATGAGTTGGCTGTTACATGTTTTCTTTTCTCATAAAATAAGACATTTATAGAAATTTTGTCAAAAGTAAATCTTAATTCGATTTCTCTTTGTTTTTTTATTTGCACGTTACGGTTTACACAAATGACCTTATGAATATTATTGAGTAAAATAAC